CTACCAGGTGACTATTGGAGTCCCCCTTCATGACACGCTTTTGCACATCTGTGAAGGAAGCTTTCAAGTCCGAGGACCCCGTTCCAAAGATGAAGGGGGAGGTGAAGAACTGAACAATCCCAGGGGATGCCTCTATCTACAAGATGACGGAATGTTAGAAGAGCCATATATATTATAAAGCAAGATATTCACCTCAGCACCGGTCCTGTCATCAAAGACGCACACGCAGTCATCATTTTGATTCACTACCCAACCTGTAACACCTTCGTGGTCTCCCGAAAGAATGCGGACTTCATCCCCTACTTTGAGATCTTTTCGAAGCGACGAAAAAGGTAAGGTAGTTGTTACATCCTTCATTGTCAAAAAGACGACGGCTTCGCCTTCCGTTACATCAATAATTGTTCCAAGAAGCCCCCTTGAATCTCCGTGCGTGATTTTTACCTCATCGCCTATCCGAAGGATCCTGGCTGACATTCTCGCCATCGTGTGCTGTTGGACGTTGAGAGGAATGTCCGAGCAGGCGTTGAAAAGTTCCAATTCACTCAATGTTGGTACTACATCTTCTGCCGTGTACCAATCCGTGTCGACTTCTGAGAAATAGGCATATCCGTCGGCATCGTACAACACTCTGCGGAATAAAAACAGGTTGTTGCGTTGTTGAAAGGCCCGTCGATACCGTTGCTTCGCCAGTGTCGGATTGAAGAGGGCTTGGCGAGGCCGCCCTGGTGCTGAAGCTCTTCTATATAGCTTGCGGTCAGGCTTGTAGGTCGCTGCAAACTCGTCGTCCATCTCATTATTTCTGTCCTCATATGCGATAATCCGGCTTCCTTTGAATTTGGGTGGGTCATAATCAACGCGTGGTACCACAAGGAGGTTGATGAGCAATGTTGAATAAGTAGTAACCTCCCGAACGTAGGCGAGATCTCCTTTGTAGATCCCACAGTGCAGTCGAACCCATGAATGAGGCCGTGGCCGAAAGGTATCCGGAACATTGAAAATCGAGGGGTTGGGATCGGGTATGTGGAAAGTCTTCGAGACCATCACGTTTGGTAGGCCATTACAGACTTGTCGAATCATTTCCTCTGAACCACCTTCAAAAAACACTCTACCAGGTAGAGCCTTCCAACCAAAGACTGCTGGGGGTCGAAACTGTGCAGGAAACCTAGGGTCCATGAGCCGCCGATGGACTCGACAGACTATCCCCTCCTCATACCCAGGCTAAGTAGAAAAGTCCTTATAAATATGAGCTTCAAAGATTGGATTAGTGTTACCTTGACAAGCACCGCCCATAAAGACGGTTTTCCGATATCTTGAATGTCTTCTTCCGTAATATGTCGATGAGCCGTGACGCGCTCGAGAAAGCTTTCCCAAAACACATCGTCATCGGACGGCATCAACGCTTCACGGAGAAGGTTGCGGTGCGCATCTCCTGAGATTGAATCATCGATGTCTTCATCGTCGTCGATAAGATCACCTTGAAAATGATTAGAAGTGTAGTAGCTATCGTTACAACGTATGATACACACCTTCATTGCCATTATTCTCATCATCGGTTTCCGCCTCTGATACTTCAGCTTCGAGATCCAAAAATTGAAGAACTTCTGGGTTCTGTTGCGTGATTAGCTTGCTAAGAAATCTCACAAGAATAAGGGGGACTTGCCTCGAGCTTCATATGTTTCGTTGGTCTCTCAGGGTATTCCGCTTCCATGAGGATTTCCTGGCATTTCTATTACATTACGGTCATCTGGAATTCAGTTACTAGCACGCACAAATGTTTCTAAAAGCTATATACTCTACAAACTACACGGATGCTGCACGAAGATGGGAAAGAAGCTCGAGATTGTTTGCGCGCTGTTTTGTCTTTCGTTGACTTTAGGGCC